CATGCACACACCACACACATCTATTCTTTCTGAGGTATGCCAAAATGTTGAGAAACCTTCAAAACGTACAAATATGTAAAAGTTTTCAATTTCGATTTTTGAACGATTACAATAACTTACCCTACGGAAAGTTAATAAAATTACAATTGAACTACTTTTCGTAGCACTATAATGTTTTAGTATGCTCATTAAGACTAAATACTCTATCGCTATACCAAGTATCACTCAAAATCTTTTTTTTTTTTTGACAATCAATTATGTCGATTAAATCCAAATTTAATCAGCACGATTCCCAAATAATATGTTTTGAGTAGTTCTTGAATTTTCAAGATCAGATCAAAAATTTTGGCTAAAATGCGGCCGAATAATTGTGCACTTTTCTCCAAATTTTGAAGAAACGGTTTTACCGATCACGGCAAAAACACTAACTAACGCGAGTGCTCACCAAGTTTCATCAAATGGCTTTTAATTTTTTTTTTAAATTTTTTTAGCCCTTTTTGAGAATACATCGATGGAAAGTCTAATTTTAACAAAAGTCAAAATAAAACCGCTACTCATTTTTTCAAACTTTAACGATTTTTTTTTTAAACTAAACGGTTTAAAACCATTGTCGTAGGGTCGTAATATTTTAGTAAGTTTTATAAGACCATAATATATATTGTCAAAAAAAGATTCATAAAAGTCGATTTTTTTTAACTTGCCGTAGTGTAACTTCCCGTAGGGTAAGTTATAGTAATCGCAAAAAAATCTAAAATGAAATTTTTTTATATCTTTATGTTTAAGAAGTTTCTGAACATTTTGGCATACCTTAGAAAAAATGTGCGTGTGTGTGTTTGTGTTTGGATACAATTTTTTGTCGACAATTTCGGGAACACGGTTCAACCGATTTTAATGATTCAAAAATCATTATATTCCTATTGATAAGGAGACATGCTGATTAGTTTCATATACTTTTAAATTTTTTTGAAAGGGGCTTATCCGTTTTTGAAAATACTAAATTTTGATTTATTATACCATAAAAGTGACAAAGTTAGACTCTTCACATATTTTTCAAATTTCAAATATTTTTGTATATCATTTATGACCATATAAAGGTTCACCAAAATCGTGGAAAAAAATCTAGAATTTTTTGTGAAGAAAGTTATATTTTGTTCAGTTTTTGAATTTTCAAAATCAATCGAAGATTATTAGTTTAGGCGTGAACGCGGACAAAAAAATTTGCACTTTTCTGCTATTTGTAAAGAAACTGCTTGGATTATTGTCACGTAAAACTGATAAATAGTAGTTCTTTTGGAGTTTTATCGAATGAATTTTTCTGAAACTTTTGATGAAATCATTTTTGGGAAAACGTCGACGAAAGAACGAAAAATCGGATCTCAAGCACACACATATTTTTCCAAACTTGATCTCAGATGATTGACTTGAAAAGTCAAGTAAATATAGAGTTAGCAAGCCGGACTTTCTCCATTGGGAAATTAACAAAATCTACAATCTGTCATGAATATAAAAATAAC